AAAAAAAAAAAAAAAAAAAATATTTAAAGACAATATGAAAAAGAAAACAATGATTGCAAGAGGTTGTTTTATTGCAGTGAGAGTTAGATTAATACTGTTTTACAGTACTATGACATTTGGTACAGAAATATCTGGTGCAAACGGAAAACAGTGTTATATTGTATATTTTATGGAGTTGGTTATACATAAATGTAGGTATGTAGTAAGATATATACTTTTTGTATGCGACACGTTGAAATCAATTTTTATAACTTATATGTGCAGCTTCTATATTTGATAATATTATTTACTAGTGATTATTAGAGCTTCAAATTATACATATTGCAGTTCAACAATATTAATATGGATATTGTGGACATGGTTGTTGATTTTCAATGAAATGAATTATACTTTATAATAATATTAATATTAATTACGTATTATATATAATTATAATGTTTTGATTATTAAAATGAGAAATTTTACATACTTTTAAGTTGAAAAAACAATGTGAACGACTTTTCTTGCAGCTATGAACGTAACTTGTAAAGTCCGATTTATAGGGATGATACTTGCTCATTCTAACAAAATTGGACTGGTGCTAACTCTATATTTAAATGATCTAATTTCTGAAAGAAAAGATATTAATTCATCCTAACACGTGTGATAGCTTGAGAGTATTGTGCCTTACGCGTGTTCCATATTTAATAACAAAATTATTAAGCAAAAGCTTAAGCTTTTGAAGCAATTATAAATTTTTTATTGAACTTTATTGTAGAGTAATCTTACAATCGACCAAATAAGTATTCGACCGATTGATGAAGGCACACCACGCAGACATTTATTGAAATTACACGAGATGGGTGTGCATCCTAAAAAACGTCAGAAAGTTCGATTTTTCATTTTACTCAACTGCTGTTCATCTAAAAATAGATATTTATGATAAATAAGCATTTACAAACATAATATTATTTTATTCATAATAAGTTAATATTTTATAAAATTAAATATTAATTCTGAGAAAAAATTTTTTAACGTCTTTACTAGGTCACTAGATTTTTTTATAAAATTGACCTATAATTATATATTGAAATTCCTTGTATAAACGAATTAATATGTAAACAAATACGATGAATTGCAAATGTTAATACAGTATAATCTATTTGTAATAACAAATAGTATTAATACCTATAAAACGTATAAAATTTACTTATTTTAATATCTGTGTAGAAAAATTATTCTCTATTAGTAGATTTTTTACTAAAAGAACTCGCAAATTGAAATATCTAAATTAAATATTTTTGTATATATATTCCGTAGTAATTGTATACACTCAGGAATATTTTGATAAATTCACGATATTTACGATATAATATTGTGATGTTAATCATAAAATGATATGCTTTTGAGTATATGTATACAATTTGTGAAGAATCTCTTTATTAAGTAATAATCTCTTACATTATTATTTTATTTTTTGAACAGCATTTAAAGAATATTGTCGATATTTTTTTTATTATAATATAATATTTATTATGATTATTGTACGAAATATATGCGAATAGCAATAATTAAATTAAGTACTGATACAACCAAAGAAACAAATGCATTTAATCATTTTGAGATGCAGTGTAAAAGATACAAAAAAAAAAAAATATTACTACATTTATTATTTAAAATCTTTGTTTAAAATAAAATAAATAACATTTTTTTTTATTAATTACATGAAGATATTTATAATAAAATAATATTAAAAAAAATTAATGAAATTGAATGAATAGAGAATTGAATGAAATGAATAAAAAATGTTTTCTAATTTTTTTTTGTGATATTGAAATGTGTGGAATATAAAAAATTAATAAATATATTTTTTTACTAGTAATAACTAGGAAAAAAAATGTTTGAATAAAATATAATGAACTTAAACGCTAAAAATGAATGTATTAAATAAGATTGATTTAGATTATATTTTTATCTTTAAATCTTCTTGAATATAAAAAACACTGTTTTAAAAATTTTAAGAATTTGTATAAAATTTTTATTGTTCATATTTACTTAAGCTATTTTACATGTATCTTATGAACAAGAAACAATANTATATATATATATATATACATACACACATTTACAATTTGTATATTATATAAAATAGTGCAAACAAATTGTAAATATATAAATATTAAAAAAATACATTAAAAAATTATATGTGACATTATTAAAATAGTTATAAGATAAAAAAATAATTTTAAATTAAAATGTATTCACTATCTTTATAATTTCATCATTAAAAAAAATTTTATCTTCTATAATTATGTTATGATTTTATCTCTTATAAATATATTGCATCCTTTTATTAAAAATATTATATATTTAAAAGTTGAAAATATTTTATCATTAAACATATTTTTTTTATGTTGTAATTGCTATATAATTATTAAATTTTTTGAATCTTTCAATATTTATTATAGATCAATATTTAATAAATTTGTTATTACTAAACTTAAAATATCAATACTGTTATTAAAATTTTATTATAGGATCATTGCTGTTGATACATATATCAATAATAAACATTTATTATTAATAATGTTGAATTTATTTTTATTCGTTAGAAATAATAAATTTTATATTTACTTGTGTTCGTTAAGAAAAATTTGTCAATATACAAATCAATATATAAATAATTTTATATTATAATTTTTATTTTTTTAAAAATATAAATATACAAATTCTAAAAAAAATATAATTGAAAAGTTAAAATCTTAATAAATTTAAAAGCGGCGCTCATTAGAAGATTGCGGTCAACAGTGGAGTCTATGCCTACATTTCCAAGAATATACTACTCGACGTCTTATGATGTCAGCCAATGTCATCCAACATTTGAAACATGTGTTTTTTATGCTTTCTATGTTCTAATATTTTCAAAATAATTATAAATTATGATTGAAAATGTTACAGAAATATTACATTTCATCAAATTAGATAATATTAAATCGTCAAATTAGATTATTTTTGTGCAAGTATTTTTGCTATGTCGTCCAATTTTCTATAAAGAATCGTTTACATGTTGGCACTACTGTTGATCGCACGTATTTTACTTAGAATGTACATCATTTATTCCTGGTCCCTCTGGGCGAATGTAAACAGAATTTTTTCGCAAATATGAAGTGACACGGCCGATCTATGCGGCTACGATTCGTGCATGGAAACTGTAATTTATAATATCGTGTCGACCGTTTTAGCATTTTATAAGACCTCAAATATTAGTTTTAAACGCGTTACGGTAACCAGAAGATATACCTAGCGAATAAAACGGGTTTACGTTCGACCGCCCGTAATGTAAGTTCAGTGAAATAGTGTGGAGACGGTTTATAATACATGGAAGTGCAATGAGGGATCTGCAGAAATTCGTTGACTGCTTGCTGACGGTAAGTACTCCGAAACGAATGGTACTAACGAACAACTGCTTTGGACTTTCCCAACTCTCACAAAATATGTCGTATTGGTCGATTTCTCCATAAAATAAGCTTGCACATTTTAATTACCTAATTTTCCTGTTAATCGAATACATATTTTCTATACACTAGAATATACTACAACTTTTCATATATACATGATAGATAAATCTTGTTACATACTTTCATGTGTTCCTGTTATATATGTATGTCTTATATTAGACTAGCATTTGTGAAATCACACACAATTTAACATACAATCACACAGAGACATATACGTGCAACAAGACAGAATATAAGGTACGGATATCATGAAACGCATTACGTTGTGGATATAGTGAATATTCGTAAATAAACGATTTTGATAGTTTTACCTAAATATACATTTCAAATAACTATGAAAATATTCCGTATCTTTTAAAATGACTTTACCGTATTGCACTAAATAATTTGTGTAAGAATGATATATATTATATATAAGTATATATATATATGTATATGTGTATATATATATATATTTCTTTTTTCTCTTCAGTTATATTATAACTGTGATGACTGATTATATTTTCAAGTTATCTTCAAATTTTTCTCTATTATCCCGATAATTATTCCTCTAATAAATAATAACAATAATAATATATAATTAATCAAATTTTTCGAAAAATTGCCTATTATTAATTTTCATTTTATTCATTGTTTTATTAATTGATTTAATTAGAATTATTATATTTTAATATTTTTAAATAATAAAACTTTTTTTCACAATATTTAAATAATAGAATTTATTTATTTTTTTATTGCTATTTTTAATTTGCTATTTAAAATTGCTATTTTTTTATATAGATTTTTTTATTTATTTAATTAAATTATAAATTAAAACATATATATTGTAAAAATAATAATAGTTTATTTAAAAATACAATTTTTAAGTTTTGTTTTATGTATAATATATCAAATAATTGTATTAAATTTATTTAATGAATAATTCATTTTATATTCTTGAACAAATTATCCATACAAGTTATTTTTTTGATTTTCGTTTCTCTATTCAATTTTCATTTATAATATCATAGTACATAAAAATATTATTCAATACATTTCATAACTAAAATGTAAATTGTATATTTATATTATTGTATTGTTATAATTATATAATTCTAATTTTATCTTATTTTATTATAATTCTAAAATTTTTTCTTTATAATGTTTTTCTATAATTTCTTACATAAATATTTTTATTTTGTTACTTAGTATTAATATAACTATCTAATGTATATATATAGAAGTTATAGAAGAAAAGATAAATATCATAAGGAATCATTGAAAATATAATATTTAAAAATTATTACTTCTTCTAATTTGAACTTTGTGACTTCAAATTAATTAGAAATATATCTCATCTCATTATATTATATAAATAATAATGATAAAAGATAGATGGAATTATTGGAAACAATATGAAAATCTAGAAATGATATGTCATGACTTCTAATTTACTAGTAATATATTTTATCTCATTAATTGTAGACTCTTATATTTAATTTCTAGAGTACAAAAATTCATTCATTTATAACTCAGCTTTGAAATTGTTGCATTGCATTTTAAAATATTTCATCTTTTATTGAATTATTTTAATATAATATTAAATTTATATTTTTATTATTAATTTTAATTGATGAGATATGTTAAAATATATAGTTTAATCATCTTATATATTATAATGAAAATTATATTTTTATTTTAATTATATTTTTTTTCAGTGATGGGAGCACAAGATGTCTTCAAACATAGCAGATCCCAACAAATTTCAAGAAGAAATGTTTTTAAAATCAAGTTTTAAAAATATATTAAGCCATGATGATGTTATTAGATATCCAATTGCAAAAAGAATGACAGAAACTCTGTGTTATAATTTAAAGAAATGTGAAAATAATATTACATATGTACCAAGAAATAACATTCTTTCCCAAAAGATAGACATTAATTGGATGCAAGATAATCCATGTGACACAACTGAATTTTCAGAAACTAAGTATTCATCTGATATATGTTTAGTTAATCATTGTATGTTAAGTAAGGATGTTAATTTTAATTGTAATTGTAATATAATGCATTATCAACAACATAAACAAATTTCACAAAATTATATGTATTTTATATATAATTTATGGAGAATTAGAACAAATAAAAGTTTGCCATTATTGATTACAAACAGAGTTGGTACACAGTGGAGGAATTGCTTCTGGAGAATATTTTTAATTCCTTTTATTATTTTATTATTATGTACAACAATATGTAGTGCAGATCCTAATCAATGTGCAGTTGGTCTAACAACAC